TTTAAATAGGTATAAAAATAGTAGAGAAATCTTCAATCTTCAAGTAAACTGTATAAGCTATTTAATAACATTTCAGGATTTTCACCTCTCTGTGCGTCAGTCTGAAGCTGGGAATGTCTCAGTCAATGTAAAGTGATGGAAACAGGTACAAGCATGATTGAAAGCTCTTTATTTAGAATACCACAGGGTTGAATCATCACTGAGATTCATGGTCTGTTACTATCCAATTTTTAAGTTCTCAGCCATTAATGAATCAGATGAATTATATCTGTGCCATGACAAGGTGTGTTTATATGCCATGGCAAGAATCCTAGACCATTGTGATATCATGTAACTCAACTAGTCACAATCCTAATTTACTCTACAGCCTTACTCTGTAGCTAATTTCTGTGCAACAGTTCATTGGTTGTACAAAGGAGACTGCACAGATGGCAGATTACTTGGCTTAACTGCTGCAGTTCTTCAAAAAAGGAAGTTAATATGTTAATAACCATATGTATTCTTCTTGTATGTATGTCAGATTTAAGGCTACGTAGTATTTGATGAAGCCATGGGTGTTAACAGTGTGTTGTGGAAGGAAGGTAATAATAGTTGATAAATTTTATATTTGTGAAGATAGAGAAACAGAAATATGGTTATTGGCTCCCACAATTTACTTGCTTTTCATTATGTGAGGGAAACGTTGTAAGTAGAGCAGAGCAACCTTAACTAATATTAAATGAATTTTCCTAGTTTTTAAACTGTTGAAATTGAAGATGAAAAATTGCAAGCAAATAATATGCTGCCTTATGAAGCATGGCAACAATATGGTGAATGCAGCAGCTGCAGTGAGGGGTCAGGGTGGAGAAATGTTGACATTAGCCTACAAACAGCCTTTGCAACTTGACAAACCTTGTCATGTATGAAGACATAGGATGCTACTTAGCAAAGAATGTTGATATTCGTAAATGTGGCACTTTTAAATTGATGACACTGAAGTCAACATTTACATTAGAGTAAATGGGCCTGTAGTAATTTGAAACTGGATGCAATGTATGGACATAGATCTGTGCCTAGCAAACAACACCATCATATAGTTAATGGGCCCTTTCAAATTGGCACAGCTCAAATAATTTATGAAGCATAATCATTTTTCTCAAATTCCAAAATGGGAAAATATAAAACTGGTATTTATATAAACTATAGATATACAGTCATCTACATTGTAAGTTTAGTGTAGACTATCCATTAGTAATCTTTTCAAAAGGGTTCTGAAAAAAAAGGAAATGCTAGTGACCCAAAATATAAAACCATTTGTTTTTATTCTAACTATTTTAAAATATTACTGCCCTAGAAATTATAATTATCTAGAAAATTAGAAGCTTTCTTACACTCTAGTTTGTAAGTTTTGAATAAAACAGCTAGCAGATGTTGCCATCTTGTCCCTTCTTAAACGCAATTCATTGATACAACCTTACCTATGGCTTAACCACTGCTAAACCATAATTGCATCATATTAAAGTTTTATTTGTTAATTTTAAATATGAGTATGACTGAGACCATTGGCCATTCAAAGTAAAGTTTTGGATAATCCTTATTAGAGGCACATTAAAATTTACATGATAAAACAGAACAAAATTGAAGGATCTAATTAGCTGATAAGCATTACAGTAGTGAAATTCGTACACAGCAATTCTGTGGTTAAAATTCTTTAATTGTGTCAGCTTTTTTCATGATCACATGTTTATAAAAGAGCACAAAAATTAAGTAATTCTAAATCCTGACCAGTTTGAAAATACCGGAAGTACAGTACCTATAGTCAATAGGAACTTTTATTTTATACTCAGTTTGAACTGGAGCAGCTGCTAGTCTTTTTTTGCAGCCTTTTTGAAGCAGGTGGTACGCAGGAGGGAATTGAGCTGTTTAAGAAAATCACTTTTTTCATATAGAGCTTTTTTTTTTCTGACCGACACTGAGATGTAAAACCTTTAAAAGTCTGGCTCTGATCTGGGGAATAAATGGTGGTGGTTAGAAGATTCTGTTTTTTGTTGTTGTTTTTTTAAATGGCTTAGTTCCCTCTTGAGAGTTGGCAGCTTCTAAAGGGCTGCCATCAGTATGGTGTCTGCTCTGAAATTAATCTTCTTGCTGCTTCTTGGTGTAACAGTGTCTTAAAGTCAATAATGTTTCAAACTGAAATCTATGTAAAAACACCTTTTCATGTCTTAATGCAAGCATTGACAGACGAGGGCAGAAATTATTATTTTAGTTATCTATTTTGTAACCAGCTTAACCTTCATTTAACTAACTTTTAATATGAAACATACTTTTTTCTTTTTGTTTTGTATCACCTGTTCATTATTCTTTGTTCTGATGATGAATTTAATAGAGAAAGGTAAAAAGAAAAGAAACTAAATACAAAAAAACTATATTAAGGCATTGTTAAGGTTACGCAGCTTAGCATTTAAACGTAAGGAAATGCAAAGGTGCAGGTTGAATACCTAACCATAACGCTATCCATTTGGACATAATCATTACAATACAAATTTTACTGTATTGTATGTGTAGTTTAAGCTTTTAGAAAGAAATGTAGAATGTTTATATGGACCAAATTTTCCAAAGAGTCCCTCACCCAATTTCTTCCATTTGGGCAACTAAATGAATGGCATGACTTTCAAAAGTGTTCCACAGAGCAACTCAGATTATGAACATCTGGGTCTACCTGTGTGTGCTGAGTCCTTTTGAAAAATCATGTCCTATAGCATTATTTTGTGAAGTAGTATGTCATCACATAATTAAAAACTGTATAGTAATACTTATGCACAAGGAGGCAGATCCAAAGCATGGTTGTTGCTTTCTGTAAAGTAGCTTTAAAAATGGTATTGTTTGAGGTGCATATTCATGTGTCAGCAACTCCATATTATATTTGTTCAGTTTATAAATAAGAGGGTATTTTAACTGCCAACCCCACACACTGTAATTTAATCTGTAAGTCAAGTTCTTTCAGTTTTACCACATCAAAGAAAGGTATAGTTAGGTGCAATTGAGGTGTACACCTAATAAGTCTCACTCAAAGTGTATTTTAATAGTGATGATACATGAGAAGAAAAAGGCCAGCTGACCTGCACATCTACACCAAATTAATGTAAAAAACAAATGGAACTAAAATATACTTGTTACAAAAACATATAACCTCATGAGCTTATTTTGTGTTAACCGTGTCCCTCTGTAATCCAACCACCAGGTTGTGTTTATGTTGATCTCATCTCTTCCTATGCTATGTTTACGAGGTCTATTCTGCAAATCTTGTTAGTGCTGGGCATGACTCCAATAAGGCCATTCATGGTAGTGAGCACTACAGTGTCTGGTAGTGGTTGTGTGATTGGCCCATTACCTGCAAATGCTGAACACCTCCAGAGAGCTGTTCAGCCCCCTCCCACTCTGTAAGTGACGGGTGCTGAATATCTCTAGAAGCTCACTATCTGGTAGGATCAGGTCTGTAGATGGTAGGTTCCTTAGGGCAGGGACAATGTCTTTCATTTGTCTGTAAAGCAACATGCCCACTTACGACACTATATAAGTAATAATTAACTTTCAAATTCCAAGATTTCTTTATGGAAGTAGGACTTAGAAAAATAATCTTTTTCATTTAAATGGACCAGGTGTCAAGTGAAGTCACTGTAACCATTTTTCATTGTCAGCTGTCAATCCAAACTGGATCATGGTATATGCATAAGAGGTCTAATCAGGCGCCTGATGAATCCACTTAGGGCTGACAAGCCCAATTCAGGAGCAACACAGTTTGTTACAAATTTCACAGATCCATGTGTTGTCTGAGTTACAGTCCAAGACTACAGTATGCTGCTGTCTTCTTTCTCGCTTTGCTCCATTCTCTGGATCAAAGCCTCTTCATGTTGAGCGGCACCCAGTGCCAGATATTCCCTCCAAATTGGATGGGATTCTTTGCGCTCCTCCCATCTTTCTACATTTATGTTGAACAAGTCACTGGAACTACTGAGACAATTAACGTAGAATCTCACAGTTCCTTTTCAGAATACAACTAAACCAAGGTTCAGAGTTCAAATGTAACTTTCACGTTTCCTAACGTTTCAGTTCTTAGCTGAGGAACTTTAATCCTGCGTTATGAGTAGTACTATTAAATATGCATTAAACTTGGATTTTTGTTTCTGGAAACATTTTGAAAAGCTTTTACTTACATAATGGAAAATGTTTTCTGTATTAAGTATTCACCCTCAATCTGATGAAAGCATTTGTAGTCCTTTGCTTTTTATTTATGCTGAAACTCTTTTGTATATATGTTTTTTAATTATTTGTAAAAATCCACAATAAGACTTTAAAATCCGCAATAAATAATTCAAACATTCAATGATGTCTGCATAACTGTGAACTTTCCCTAAAGCAAATAAACTGAATTTAGCTCTGTATCTAATGAAAATTATATTCTGTCATATGGGAGATCAAAGCTCTGTTCCTGGTTCTTGTGTCTTGCTCACTGGGCTGGCAGGAGCTGGGAGTATTGCAGAGTCAGTATCTTTTGGCCATTATTTTCAAGTGTCCATTAAGTTTTCCTGTCCTCTGTTGGTGCCCAACTTGAGATGCCAAGACCACTCTGATTTTTTTTAAAGAGATGCTAAGTACTTAAGTTCCATTGACTTCAATTAGAGTTGTGGGTGCTTAGCTTCCCTCCAAACCAGATGCTAAAACTCTCAAGTTGGACACCCAAAATTAGTAATCATTTCTGAAAATTTTTCCCCTAGGCCTTTTGTGAGCTCATGGTAAAGTAGCACCTCTTAGTACTCTGCGGATTCCTCTGCCTGACTAAGGAGCAGAATTGAAGACTATAAAAGGGAGTATAGTGGGTTGGATAGTTGAAATTGGGAGAAAATGAATTTGAAGAGTCAGTAAATTGGCAGAGCTATGGGAATGAGGCATGATACACATTACATATATGTTCCCTTTCAGAAAAACAAACAAAAAAGTCCTCTCTCTGTTCATAATTGTAGGTATCCTGAATTAGCAGCTGTGTGCCGAAATTCTAATACTCTAATTCTGTATCCTGGAGCTGAAGCAGCTAATTTGGAAGAAGTGGCTTTGATCTTCCCAAGTCCATCTACAATCATCATCATTGATGGAACATGGAGTCAGGCTAAAGATATATTCTACAAAAACTCTCTTTTCCGGCTTCCTAAGCAGGTAAGATGTAATGCTTTGACTTGAGAGTGCAATATATGTTTTCTTTTTTTCACTGGAAGTGTTTGAACTAAACTGGTCAAAAACTAGAACTTTATCCTGTATAAAATTTGTATGTTTCAAATTTTGTTTGTCCCAATTGAAACAAAAAGTCAAAATACTGACAGTTTTCACAGAACATAAAGTTCAAAAAATTTGGATTTTGAAATGTCGGAATATTTATGTTGACATTGCTGAATTGAAATGTTTCATTTTGCTTTGTTGAATGGACTCTAAACATTTAATTTCAGTTTGGTTCAGTACTACGCCACATCCACTTGCGCTGCTTTAGTGCCTCATGGTTGCTGTGATTGGGGTGCCACATGCTCCCATCCTTTTCTGTGAGCTGAGTTCCCAGGCCAGATTACTTGTCTCTTGATGCACAGTGGTCACGTGAATCCCATGATTCACCATACTGGTTCAACTAGAGGGGAGACTGTGGTGCATCCTGGGAAATGTAGTAGTCCTGCCAGGCAGACTGTCCTATAGAAGAAAGAATGCAGTCATGAGATATTAGAACTGCAGCTCCCATGAGGCATTGTGGCTGCTCCAGCAAACATACACAATGTCAAGCTGACCTTGAAAAAAATCGGGTTGGCATGACCAATTGAAATATTTTCAGTTTGACTTGAACTGAAACGAAATTTTTCCAATGGGAAAATTTGAAAAATGTCAGGGAGGTTTTCCATTTTGTGGAAATGGATTTTCTGTCCAAAAAAAGCTTCAGCAGAAAATTCCAAACCAGCTTTAGCTTGAACTCAGGACTTCAAAAGGTTGTTGTTGGTAGTAAGGCCTCTTAATAAAATGTTTGCAGTGGTGAAGTCTACATTTTTTTATCCTTATCCTATTTCCAGGAAATGTATGAACCTGAGTGTGAAAGTAGGATGTTGTGGCCTTTCAGTGCAAATTCTCAACTCTTCTACTCATGTCCAAGGGAAAGCTTGTAAGAATCCAGAATGGTTGTCAAATCACAGCTACTGAATATGGAGGGAACTTATAATGAAATATATTAATAACATCACATTTTCTCCAGATATTACCATTAACAACAATAGGTTTTCCCCATCCAAGTACTCTAGATTATAATGTATGAATATAGCACTAACAGTTAGTGCTAATAAAATTAACAGATGTAGGTTCTAGTCCTGCTCTCAGAACTCTGTGAGCACAGCCCTGAAAAAGAATTGTGTAAATCAGTGGTGCTGTGTAGGATGTGTACACATGATTCTCAGTGCAGGATGGAAGACTTAATTTATTGTTGTTACATGATTAACCACTGTTATTTGGGCAGTTATTCCATCCTTTGTATAACAAGTTTCAGTCTAACACAAGTTACTTGTTTTACACAACTTGTCAGCCTGTATTATTTTCTCCTAAAAATACCCTATATGAGTTAATCAGTTTAGTTGTGGATTTAACAAAGTGGTGTTTTGATCTAGAAGTCATGCTTCATCCACAACCAACTGTATTTTATCCTAAACCCAGAACCTATGAGGTTTTTAAAAGTGATCTCCCATAAATACTTTAAAACTTTATAAATAGCCATAAGCAATATCTTTGGGGGTAGAAATATAAAACTTGAAACCTTAATGCAGTCCTCTCACAAGTAGTTTGTGGTTCCTATTAAATTATGCAGCAAGTGGATATTTTTAAATAAATCAGACCTGCAATAAGAGATGGCTGTTTCATTCTTACATATGCAGGGAGAAAGAGATAAGTATTGTTGTCAAAGCCAGGTCTGATTGGTCTTCTGTATTAGTTTGGTATGTGCTTCTGATAAAACACATGCTGGCCACACAGGCTACTGAAGGGAGGAAAAACCTTGTTTAAATAAATGTAACTGTTTGTATCCTTTTTTTTTTTTCATATGGTTACTGGAAATAGCTCCCACTTGGAGACCCATTTAGGGCATCATGTGACTGGATATGCAGTAAGAAAAGAACACCACACCATATTTTGCCTCTCTAACTCTGCACAGAACTGGACCCTACAGAATCTCCTTCATGCGGTCTGGGGTTCATAATGGAGACTACAATACTTGGGAGTGGGGCAAGGACTTGGGTAGGTGGGGGATGGGAGGAATAGATGTTTTAGGCAGGAAAGGTAATGCAGTGCTGTGCTTTATCTTTTTGGTGTAGCTGTTGCAGTCCCTGGAAGCCTTGGTAGTGGGGCTCCAGTAAAGCTGCATTACTAGATTACCATGGACCAGAGCTGGTGTACTGACTTCTGGCCTCTAGCATATTCCACAGAATACTTTAGATTTTGTGATGGGCCTGGTGGCCTTTCACCTGGGGGCATCCCAACTACATAATAAATTAATGCAAGGGGCTGTATTATCTTTTCTATCTATCTACTGGTGGGGTAGTCCTTGAAGCCATTCATGGTCAGGGAAGCCTTGGTAGCACAGGGCTACACTGGGGCACAGAGGAAGAGGGTATTTGACCTCTTGTTTATCCCCCACATCGAACTGTGAGGTTTGGAGGCTGCTTTCACGGGCTGTTTCTATACCTGGGGGAAGTTCCTGCCCCTTCGCTTCACAAAGAGCACCTTAAACCATTTCCTTTTCTTCTGAATCCTACTCAATGAGTTGTCTGCTATGACAGGACAGTCTTTTACAGCACTGGAAGACTTAATTTCATTTTTGTTGTTGTTTTGTTTTAAATCCATTATTTTTAGTGGCCATTTTGCTTAATCAGCTTAGTTTAAAGATTACTGTTTGTGGTAGTTACTCTAACAGTATATTAGAAAACTATACTTCCCTACGCTCTCAGTAAAAATGTAGACTACAGGCAATTCCCATAATCTTGATGCTTAAAGCATTTACTGCCTTAAGCTTTTAATTCCAACAGAAATATTTTTATTTTCAGGGCAGAAGAAATGCTCTTCTGTTCCGAGACAGTGTGAAGAATAAGAAACCAACCCTTTTACAGGAGAATAGAGTAGGCAGGTCTTTAATTCGTTGAAATACACTAAAAATAGAGCATAAAATGTTTGCATTTGTACAGCTAGTTTATTGAAGTTGATAAAACTGTAGAATAAAATCTGATTTACAAAATTCAAATAATTTAATACTCCTTTGCACAACAAAGGCCTTTCAAAAAAACAGACATTCATGTTTTATAGTGTTACAGTCATCGCATTTCAGTATGTTTTAATATATTATGGGCCAGATTATGACCTCCATACAGTATTTATTTTTATGAGCAGATACTCCCATAACCAGTCCCACTGAAATCATAATTAAACTGTGTCAGTCACCAGTATAGCAGTGGACACTTCCTAGGCATTCAGGTAGTTGTATGTCTTACAATAAGTAGCTGGAGGCACAATCACTTTGTAAGACATAGTGCCCCTGAACACTGGAGAAGAGCATCCTTGGAACTTCCCACTAGTACACCAGTTTAACCCTTATAGTCAAAGTTATGCACTCATCTCAGCACAGGAAAGGATGGTGGTCTGAATCTGATCGATGCTGGTCTGTGCCTCCTCCAGGACTGCTCGTGCTATTGGCAGCATTAACAGACATGTTCTTACCTGATTCCATCTTTTACATCACACACATTCAATATGTTTAGATATATTTATGTAGATTAAACTAAATTTGAATTATTTTTTTTCTGAGTACAAATAATTTGGTTAAGGTAGATTGGCGTACTTTATCAAAAGAGTTTGTTATACATTTTCAAAAAGTCCATTATTTCTGGTTTAAATCAGATGAGAAAACATTCTGTGTATTTCTGAGTCCACAAGTGCTGGTCAAATGAGCATTTACACGACACCAGAAAAATGCTAATCCGTTTTGAAGGTCAGTTTTAGATTATCATTGCTTTTTTCCTTATTAATTAATGTTTGTATGGAACTTTACATTTTCAGAGTGCTTTGTGAGTGCTAAATATTATGAGTTATTAAAATCTTTGCATTCAGATAATATATTTTAAAAATTAACATATTGTATGTATTTGTGGAATGATATTGTTTCACTTGTACAGCCAACACCTTTTTATGTTAGTGAGCTTTAGAAGCTGTTATATCTATTGTCATGAATTAGGAGTAAAGTGTTTTAAATTTTTAATTGGAAAAATTAGATAAAAGTCACAAATATTTAACCATTAAAATATACATTATTCTGTTTATACTGGACCAGTTTAGAAAGCTCATAGTAGATGTTAATTTAGTCCATCAATGCAAAAAAGGCAGCGGCGGGAACCTTCCCATTATTTTCATTATTTCAGAAGTAATTCCAGTTGTTTTAATGGTATGAAATATAGTTCAGATCCCTCTTAATTAAGGCCTCAAATGAGCAAGTATTTAAGCATATGCTGAACTTTAAATATGAGTCTCATTGACATCAGTGCAATTCCTCACATGCTCGAAGCTGGGCATGGTTTTAAGTAACTTGGTGAATCCTTGCCCAAAATACTTGTGCAGCGTTTTCTTGTTAGGTAAAGTTTTAAAAAAATCACATTTTCTCTCTTGGAAATAAGTCCTGGAGATCCTCTGGTGATAGTTGAATAAATGATAGCCAGACCATAGTTCTGTCTCATCTTTAAAGTGTGTCCCAGGAAATCCAGCGGTATTTGCTGCAAGGTAGCATGTAGTCACTATCTGAAGGTGGGAAATTCTTTTACAGTTCCTTAGTGTGCACTTCCATGCTAAATATAAAACAGTTATGTCATCTACCAGACCTTTCTTGGTACGTGAGCAAAACTGCTTTAGTAATCCAAAAGAATGAAGAGGCAATGTTTCGTTCCCTAGTCCACAATCCAGGAGACTTTTATATTAGGGGCTGTTAGGTGATATCCAAATACATACCAGCCCGGTATAGAACTCTGACCAACACTTGCCATTCATTATTTATTTATTTATTTACATATTTGCATTGTGGTAGAGTCCAAAGCCCCTAGAATTCTGGTCCTGTTGTGCTAGGTTCTGTACAAGCACATATCTATGATTCAGTGCTTGAT